AGAAGAAGAGGATTCATATCTTTCCCAATGGTATTAGCACGTAAGTGAATGCAATGGATTCGACTGGAATTCGAATTCGGCTCTCCGATTCCTCAATCCGAGCCGCTCAGTCGTAATTGATCTAGCGAGCCCATTTCATCTGATTTTGCATGCTTTGTTTAATTCACTAAAACCAAATGATATAATTTCTTTCGTCTTCCATCGCAGTCATACTGGAACAGTCTATTATTTATCTGAGGTAATAGTAGGGCGTAATGCACGTGCTAAATGACTGACGGATGAACAAGCAGCATTAAAATATAATGGAACAGTCTGTATTATTATCCCGTCATTGAAAGTATCTGTTAAGTTATTTATTTTGTTGCTATAATGTCTGGTGTCTAAAGCCAATTCGGTGATAGTCCATAAATTACGCTGAGCACCAAGGAATTCTTCTCCGTCTGGAGCCATTATTTATTTTGTCACAGCTTGAGTGATTCATAACAGTGCATTATTTAATATTGTCCGCTTAATAGTGTTTCTTTTACTTGTTATCGTAAAATTCAAGGCAGGCTAATTTATATGAGAAATAGTGGAGTTTATTTATACTGTATTTATTATAATATAACTGCTTCCATTGTTATCATCATGGATATCATTTCCGGCTCTATTCCCTGTCTTGTCGATTTCCTTCTTCACTTAACGATTAATAATGGTTTTATTTAAATGAAGGGGGGGTGCGAACGGACAAGCGTTTAACATCGTAGAAAATGAAATCGGCGAACCTGAGTTAGTGTGTACATCGATCATTACGTCTCCTTCACTTAGCTAAGGAATAAATAGTAGGGTAGATATTGCTCTCTAGCCTTGATTGGTAACTAGCCTAAGAGAAGAAAGATTAGGAATTTCAAACCTCGGAGAAGGTAGTTGGAATTGATTATTTTTACGGCTTATGGACCAATGTTTCATAGATTCCTGAGACAAATGTTTTTATTTTACAAGAACATTTTAACTTTAATATTTTAAATTTTGAAGTTTTCTTTTTTTTTTTTAGGTAGACGTCTAGCCAAATGAAAAATTATGTCTTACCTATAGTGATGATTGATTGATTTATTTTTATGGGTTATCAACACTTTGTGGATTATTTAAAGCTGGAACATATTTTTGTAAGAATATGTCCATTTCTTATGAGAGAATATTACATTAAGGAATCTTTTAAAATAATAATGTTTTTTCCAGATATAAATATTACTATTTAAGATAAGATGGATTGAAATGTTGAAATAATTTTTGTTTTGTTGCTGTAATATATATATATATATATATATATATATATATGATTGATACAAATATAAAATTTTGTGACTTAGCTGGTTAAGGTTATATTCAGCACCCCGACTCCAGAGTTTCGTAGACGAGCCTTTATGTAACCGTTCGGTTTACACGTCAGTGGGTATCCGTAATTGTCTGCTGATTTTCTCATTTTCGTTATTTTTATATTAAGAAAAAAAAAAAAAAATTATGTGCTTTTTATTGGTGTTAGGCTGATTTTGTTTCTTCTTCTTAGTGTGATTGTGTGCGCGTGTGTTTGTGTGCATGTGTGTGTTCGTGCGTGTATATGCGCATGTGTGTACGCCTGCAAGTTTATGCGCATATATATATATATATATATATATATATATATATATATATATATATATATATGTATGTATGTATATATAGGTCTGTGTGTGTAAGGCAAATATTATTAAAATTTCAACAGACATTTTGTGTCATTTAATCTATTCTACTCATAAATTATTTATCGTCCTGAAATTGAGTTCGTTTATTTAATTTTTATTTAATTTTATTATATTTTTCTATTATTTATTATTTAACTGCATTTATTTATTTTGATAATTTTTAAAAATTATTATTTCTATTATTTCATCAATTATGAATTTCATCATTGAAATAAAGTTGTGATGAAGATAGCGTAGTAGGAATTTCTTTTCTTCAAATCATGTGAAAATGAGCTCTAATCTTTCGTTTAGCAGTTCACATATTTTGTTAATTATTAAAAACGCTCTATCCCTGATAATGGGCACTCATCTCCAATAAAAAAAAAATCCAATATTATTATTATTATTATTATTATTATTATTATATATATATATATATATATATATATATATATATATATATATATATATATATTGGTAAGTTTTGTTTTTTTTTTTTAAATATTGGAAAGAATTTACGTTCGCTTGTATTGCTTATTGTGATTATTTTTACGAATGTTTAATTTAAATAAATTAATCTCAACTTTTTCTTCTTTTGTAGGTAAGTATCGTTTTCTCATGAATCTTGAAATGCCGGTAAGATAAGTATTTTGTTTCTTTTATCAATATATATATATAAAGTTTTGAACCAACTTTTCATGGTTTTAAGCTAAAGCCCTTTGAGTTAGATAGAAATCCTTGAATAAATAGTCGGTGGTTAAATTAGGGAGAAAAAATAGGTCGTGGAACATTCAAGCATCAGTCATTATCGGCGAGGTGAGTTAAATAATTAAGTTACAGGTTTTTGCTTAAGTCTTTTATAGAAACATTTTATGAATTAATCGCTTATGAATTGAAATGAAAGACTATCGTCAATGTTATATGTCGTGACGTGTTGTCGCCTGATTGGCTTGTAGTTAAGATAAATACATCAGCATGTGAGAACAATTCTCTTTTATGAATGACTCTTTTTTTTAATTAGGATGGATTCCATTATTTGTAATATATTATAATGATTTGAATGAAATAAAACTGTAGTATTTTTTACTAAGAAATTGCAGTCTCTTGAGGAAGATGGGAAGTAAGTTTATGAGAAAGAGATGTGGTGTTAAGACCAATGTATATAGCAGTATTTTATAATCAGAGGCACGGTCTTTTCAGGAAGCACACACACACACACACACACACACACACACACACACACACACACACACACAGGGAGACTCACGCAGAAATGCACACACACCAATACACGCAAAAAACATATATATTCATATATATATATATATATATATATATATATATATATGTATGAATAGGAAAATATACTTTTTAATATATATATACGAAAATATACTGTATAATATATATATATATATATATATATATATGTATAGAGATATATGGATATATAGATAGATAGATAGATAGATAGATAGATAGTGAGAGAGAGAGAGAGGAAATATGTTGTTTAATAAAAAAAAACACCTACTCAAATATGACTATCCATTTAAAAATAATGTTTAACCAAATAAGTTATATATATATATATATATATATATTTAATTTAAATATATACATATATTTAAAATATATATATATATATATATATATATATTTAATTAAAAGTATATACATATATTTAAACATATATATATATATTTAATTTAAATATACACATATATTTAATATATATATATATATATATATTTAATTTAAATATATACATATATTTAAACATATATATATATATATATTTAATTTAAATATATACATATATTTAAATATATATATATATATATATATGATTATTAGTCATTATTTGAATGACAAAATACAAAAGGATAAACACTTATCTTCCGCGTTTTGTCATTCAAAAGTACATCTTCAGACTAATGTTATTTTCAGGGTTTCTCGATGTAAGATTTAACGGAAATTTGTGGTAATTTCTCCATCCCTTAAATATATATATATATATATATATATATATATATATATATATATATATATATATGATTCCATTGATAAAATTATTAGTAATCTGAAGAAGTTCTTATGAAACACGAAACGTTTAAAATAGAAGTTTTTTAATGCATGTTTTCATTTATCTACCTACCACCTTATATATATATACATATATATATATATATATATATATATATAGGGTGTAGGTAGATAAATGATCGATAAATATATATATATATATATATATATATATATATATATATATATATATATATATATATATATATATTGTTGATGAAACCAGCGGAAAAATTACCAAAACCTAAAACATTTATACATCTAAAATCTTGCACAAAAAACGGCAATACTGAAGAAGAAAGAGAAAAGCGCCTGAAGGCAAACTTACCCATGCAGTAAAGTGAAAATCGTCTATGATTAGAGCCATCCTAGTATATATATATATATATATATATATATATAGATATATATATATATATATATATATATATATATATATATATATATACGAGGTCTACTGATAGAATATATATGTTACAATGAATATATGTATATGTGTATTTTAGATCTACGTAGATTATGATGTGATTATACACATTTGTCAATAAACGTTTTCATACAAAAGTATATACAAATTTATGTATATATATATGTGTATATACACACACACACACATATATATATATATATATATATATATATATATATATATATATGTGTGTGTGTGTGTGTGTGTGTGTGTGTGTGTGTATGCACATATAACAAAGAGGTCGGACGAGCATAACATATTTTGACAGTAATGAGCGGGATCCATTTGGATTACCATATCTGAGTGCTAGAGTACGTATATATTAAGTCTAAGCAGCCTTCCCTTTGTAACAAGATAAAATGCCTATTGTGTCTAAATATAATTTGTATGATATTTATACTGTTGATTCTCTGATATATACGTTTTCCTTAAGTATATAGTAACTCTGTCCTTTTATCCAGGCAGTGTATTATTTTAGTCACAGCATTCACTATATATATATATATATATATATATATATATATATATATATATATATATATATATATATATGCAGGTGTGTTCGTATGTTTTCTTCAGTATTGTGTTTTGAATTTCATGCCAATTCTGTTTAATTTCATTTTTCCTAATTACAGTTACTCCCCTTTTATAATTTCAGTGTTATCTCCCTTGTCTGCTATACTCATTTCTAATTTGACCTTCTTAAAATATATTAGCCAGCACTCAGCAAGAACAGAAGGCAAATATAC